GATTAAAAAATTAAAGTGATTAAAAAAACGTTGTATATTATCTTTTTAAAAATTGCCAATTTTAGATAAAAGATACAAAAGTGCAATATATTTATTTATTAAGTTTTGTATTATTTTTTTATATCATACATTTATTACTACAGAAACATTTTAAAAAAAATTAATAATTAATTTGAATTACAAAATAGATAATATTTTATATAATATTACAGCATATAGGAATTTCTAAGATATTTTTTCTTTTATTCCCAATAATTATACTCTCTATAATCTCTAATCAATAATTTTGACGAATTTCTAAGAAACAATAACTGATTTCAAATCTTATTTCCGACCGATAATAATCCGCTTGAATGATTGAAAATCTCGTTATTGCAAGCAGAAAGCTTATATCGATTCTATAGAATAACGTAGCATTCTATTGCATGCTTCTTCAAGTTTTTATAGCAGCAATAGATATCTTGCGTGGCATGATAATGAAGTGAAAGAGTAGAAATTGTAGATAAAGTATCGTAACAAGTTCAAAAGTCGGTGGAAAGTGGAAACTCGATAAATGAAAAGTTAATAGAAAAATTTTTATTTGAAGGAGTTGAAGCTTGATAATGGAAATTTGGAAAAAGAAAATTCTCGTTATGATCTCATTGAAATTTTGAAATAAGAAAAATTTGAATAAGAATAGATAATAAGATTAAATGAAAATTTAATTTAATATATAATTATATAGAAACATTTGGATATTGATACAATTTATAAGAAAAATTGAATAAAATTTAAATCATATATAATAGTAAACTATATAAGTTATAATGTATAGTATATAATATAATTATATAAATTATTTGTAAATATATATAGTAATAGTATATATAGTATTATATAGTATTATATAGTAAGTATAATAATTATATTTCATTAAATATAATTATATATATAATATAATAGCGAACTTCGACTTGTAGAGATTAAGTCATTATAAATTTAAATTGCAAAAGTGAATCAGCACATTTAAATATATCAAATAAATGTCAAATAATTCAAATTAATTATTTTATGACAGAGCTGACATAGAAATGACATAGAAATGATATTATTTAAAAATATTTTAATATTTCAAATTGTCTGAAATAATTATTTCACAATCAAATCATTTCAAATAATTATAAAATAAATAACATATTATTTGAAATAATATTTCAAGCAATACCTGGTCTATTAATGATTATTATTTCAATTGATTGAATTGTCTAGATAAAAAATAATAAATTTTTCAAGTTTTGTTTTACATATCGAAAACATCTTTTTAAAATTTATTCAAATTCACATTTATTGACATCATACTTATATTGCGAATTCTTTTTCCAAATAAATACTATTGTATTTCTTTTGATTTATTTATTCGATGGCAATGTGTAAACATTTTTTAATTTCATACGCCTCTCTACCTCATATTTATCTACAGTGCTCAACCTTGACGCAACCAACATCTTCAAACAATTAACAATCTACTACTAGTCAAACTTACAATAGTGTGGTTGTGTAACTACTTCATAAAGTGTTATAATATTCATGTTGATCATTTATACAATCTGACAATACAATATATATTGTCAAAAAATTCAATTAATATTATTAAAATTTTTGTTTTTATATATTTCAATATTTACGACGAATTGAATGTTTCTACATACAGTTTTCATTTCATGAAGGAAATTATCATTCATATTGCTCGTCATAAATGAAATGCAAATGTAAATAATCATAGTCAATTTTATTGGGAAATTAAATATTTTCAATAATGGAATATTTAAATATTGTTTTGATCGTAAATTAAAACAGAATCAAGTCAAACTTGTTTAAATTATTCAAATGTATTATACTTGTAAATTATTGAAATAACTCAAAGTAATAAATTCTAAAATGATGTTTATTAAAATGTCTTTAATAATAATATAAAAGTTCTTTAATATAAGTTCTTTAATTAATAAGCTCTGTAATAATTCTATAGTTCTCAAAACTCTAAATTATTAGAGAATGATTAATTATATTTTTTAATTTATTTTGTTTTTTCAAACATTCTTTTATAATATAAATTTTTTTAATATATAATTTTGATAAGGAAATTATTTTTAAAATTAAAATTTTGCCAAAGGCCACAAATAATCCAGAATTGGCTGCTCATTATTACTATCAATTTTATTTTTAATTCATTTTTTTTAATTAATAACTTTTAGTATCATTTGTTAGTAATCAAAATTCACATCATATAAAAATGCATAACATCTTCAAATCAAAAAAAATTGAAAGAATATCAACTTCATTTCAAAAATTATTTCAGATCAAATGAAATGAAATCAAGCTAATTGATGGTTTGAGTACAAGTTTGAAAAAATATTTCAAATTAAATAAATAGCAGATTTATATTGGTATATATTGGTATAATATAATATCAAATTTTTTAAATTCAGTAAAAATAAAAGTAATTTAAATGAATCTGAATACTTGAGAAATGCCATTAAAAAATACTAAATATATATCACTTTCTGCAATCTGTTTGAATATTTTCCAAATTCTATTACACACAAATATACAAATATTAACAAATGATTAGATAAATTAGATTATACAAATCAATCTTTTTTTTAATATAAAATTTATATTTTTAATTTCAAAAAATATATAAAAAAAATGTCATAAAATTAAGAAAAAAAATAAATTTAAAAAATTTGATTTCTTAATTCAAAAAAACATGATAAATTAGTGATCTTGAAATTTAAGATCTTATGTTGTATATATATATGTTATATGTCTTATGTTATATATATATAAAATATATATATATTTATATATTTATATTTGTCATCAACCAAAATCATTACAAATGATTTAAAATAATATTGAATTAATTAAGAAAATCTATATATATGTAATGTAATAAGAACAAAAGAATAATGAAATAATATTTTTCATTTTAATATAAAAATATAATAATAATAGCAATAGAAAATTTATATCTCTATGAAATATACCTTCAATAATATGTAATTGTAATGTTCAAGAGATTAATAATAACTTGTAAATATTTCTGATATCTCCAATCTGGCAGAAACTTCTTAAAATTATCCAAGTATTCTTATGAAATATATTGTACATATTATATAATTTTGATATAAAATCGATCGTTGTTCTATGAATCTGCTATAAAAAGATAAGATATTGATAAGATATAACATTTTACAGATATATGTAAAACGTGATCGAATCATCGCGGTGCATTAATTTACAATAGTATATGTTTATTGTGGTTCTTGCCAGTGAAACGAAATATTTAGTCGGCATGGATATTGAGGTCAGTGGTTTGTTCATCCTATCGTTAATGACGATTCCAGTGTCGAGACACACAGCTTCGAACAGCAAGCACGAGCGAGCAATTCCTTGCGTAACCTACAAACAGAGACTCCGGCTGTATGCCATACTATCGAGTCATCGAGAGTCGCAGAGTTCACAAAACCATCGAAGTTGTGTTGCTGGCCCGTTTTCTGTGCCCGGCCCATTATAATGTATACAGCTTTCGCAATATATTCGCGAGGTATTTCGCTTGCTCGACGCGTTTTCGACTTTTCGTTTTGCAAGAGACGACTCAAGACACAACCGATCGCGATCCATCGCGGAGCCAAGGAATCGTCACCGTAACTTAACCTTACTTCCCATTAAAATTGATATTCTTATAGTTGAATTAGGTTATATAGTGTATTTTCTTTATATATTATTATGTGATCTTAATTTCAATTCTATTAAGAAAAAATCCACTTTGAAACCAGTGAAGCAAATAATTTCACATCAATACATCATAATTTGTTTGAGCTTTGTGTCTTGCTATTAGTCGTTTTCTACAACTTATTATCGAAAAAAATAAAATAAGGCTAAATTAGGTTACGTTAAATCTCTAACAAAAAAAAACGAAATGTAATACTAACTTTTTAATAAATTTTTACACAATGATTATAAAAAATTAAGGTTAAGAATATATTATTTACTGCTTATGTGAGCTCTTAATGTAAATATGCTCGGGGTTCTACTGAGGAGAATTTTTCTTATGAACCTAGTAAAACGAGCAATTTTATATGAAACAATATGTATATCATAAATTTCTTTAAATATTTAAATTCTTTGTATTTAAATGTTTAAACTCTATCTTTTGCTAGCTATCATTTCTGTGATCATCGTCGATATAGATGAAATGAGGTTAAGTTAAGTTAAATTCCAAGCTTATACAAATATATTTTCTACTGATCTATGTAATATTCATCAAATCTTTCTTTAACAAATATAATAGTGATTTTTTAAATAAACTTTTGCAAAGTAATATTAAAATTAATGATATCTGATTTTACAGCAGATCATCAATAGATACTCGAGATATTTTAATATAAAGTTTAACATTTTTGCTTTATTAAAAGATTATAATTAGAAAATGTTTTATAAATGAATTCATTCAACAAAAATCGTAGAAAAAATAGATTTATTAAATAAATTATTATCCGTGTACTGTCATTAAATAATATTATTTGTAGTTCTTTAAATTCTTACCTTGAACAAAAACTCATTAAAAAGTCAACTTTACATTTTAATTTTACACATCTTATATCATTGTTCTCTAAATATAATTTATTTGATAATTACATATCTATTATCAAGTCAATCATTATTCTAATCATCTTCCAAGAACATATTCACTTCTAATATATAGAGAGAATATCTAATTCATTATGTGAAATTCCTTAGCCAATATTTGCCAATTTTTTGACATGATTCTTTCCAAAGCAAATAATCTTGATTTCTGGTTTTTTTCCTTTGACTTTGAAACAAAAAAGATGAGACGGTAAGTTAGTTAGACAGTCTCGAAGATTCCGCGTTCGTGTACAAATCAGTGATCAACTGCCCGATGATAAATGACGACATCCATTCAAGTTCGTTCTCGATTGGCCTTGACGAGAATTCTCTCGTCAACCGAGTTGTATTGAAAGCGAAATTCAACGGGTTACCAAACCATCCGTCGCAGCTTAGAGAGTATGAGTATATAGATACGACGCTGTCCATTCGGTTTCAGGGACGTGATTAATCATTCTGGGCGCCCACAGAAACAAACAATTATCTCCTTATACCTACCTCTCTTTTCTGTGTCCTCTTTTCTGTGAATCATTTCGCGAGAAAATCACTTCAAAAAACGCTTGAATCATTCATCGCTTAATGCTAATTTTTGAAAATTAGTTAATCTAATTAGTAAAATTTCGAAGAAAAAATTCTAATCAGAAATCTCTTTTTTTGAAAAGATATTAAATGTTTGAAAGATTTACAAATAAATTGTAAAATTTTATATAAAAAATAAATTTTTTCGAATAAAATTGTTTAACTTTAATTGTTTAATTGTTAAATGAAAATTCAATATATAGAATTTATATAAGAATGAATTTTTAGTAAAAAATAATTCGAAAAATTCGTAAATAAATTTCGTATTTCGCATCCAAAACAATTTTAATAATTAAAATTTAAGAAGACATATCAAATGTTTGATTATTGGCAGATTATAACATACATAATTATTTCGATTTGCATATGGCAATTAAAGTTTAAATAAATTTAATTCTATTTAAATAAAGATTTTCATTGAGCAATAAAAGAAAATGAATATTTTGCTTTGCTTTATATGTTGCTTTGATATTAAATAAAATATAATGTCTTTAGATAAAATAAAACAAATAAAAAGTTACTACTCAAACTACAAATGAATTTTAATAGATATTTTTCCAATAGTTGGTTAACGTAGATGTCGAAGTTACGGAGATCGATTGTAATTGCCATGAACCATCAAATGTTTTGATTATGATGTTTTGACTATAATTGCAAGTGAAATTCGAGTGAATTCTTATTGGAAACGACGAAGTCGTGGACATAACGGTTCAAGGCCGTGCCGAATTCATGGTCGTCTTGTAAATTGCGCGAGAACGCATCGTGTAATCCATAACAAAAATTATGTGGCCCTACTTTCGTAATCGAACATACGCAGTGAATTTCGGATCGGGATTTGAACAATCTTGATCGTGAACGCGCACGCGCGAAATCGCTTCTCTAATTCAATGCCGATGCCGAAAATCATGACATAAATCGACATCATTTTATGTAACCTAACCTTTACATCAATGTTAAGTAATACGTCCTCGTTCACGCGTAAAACAAAAAGACTATATTTGGTTCGAAACCGACTATTTATCAATTGAATTTATATGTAATTATTTAGATTAATAATTTATTTGAATTCTAGTGAGTTCTAATAATATCATTCTAGTTTAAGATGAAAGACTAAAACCAATTGATTTAAAATGTTGCGAAATTAAGTTTGAGTTAATTTAAATTTGCAACATAAAAATTATCCTATATTATCTTATATTTTAGATCTTGCAAAATGTAACTCTAGATCATTAGATAGTTTTTAATTTATATTAGAATTATGTTAAATTAAATTGAGTTAAATAAATTTATTTATATTTTATAAAAATATATATTTTTTTTTAAATTTCTTCAAATTAAAATCTTGTGTTACTGAAATAAAATTTATAATATATCTCCATGAAATTTATTTTATCATAATATAAAATAATGAATAATATAAAATTAGAATAATAGAATCTTTTACATTGTTAATCATACCTAAACGAAGAAACAATAATGCAAGAAATATTAAGCTTTTTGAAATTTCTTTTCAAAGGTATACAAATTGAAAAATATTTCGTTCTAAAAAGATTAATTTTTTTTAAATTTATTATATTAAGACTTTTTTAAATAAATAATAAATAATAGTTTATTTTAATAATTGAAGCCTGATTTTTTTTAATGAACTTTTTTTTATGCCTCTTCTCTTCATAATAATAATAATCGTTTCATTTTTTGTCATTTCAGGAACTCGCTTATTTCGTCCTGAAACTTTACATTTTTACGATCTCAGGAAGATATATTGCAAAGGTTTTCTCGACAAAAAGCAAGAAAAATGTCGATTGTAATGCAATACGTGGATCGATTTCACGAGATACTTGACAAACATGCAGGTAAGCCTTCAATCATTATTTTTATGTAAAATATAATCATCCATCTTTCAAGCTTGATGAACGAACTTAAAACATTGAGAAGATCGTCCGAGGGACGATCACCGACCAGTGACTGGGAACAATTTTATTAAACAGGAACAGGAAAGATTCAGCCCTCTCCCTTTCTATTCAATTCTCGCCTTTCCGCTTTCGTTTCACTTTTCACCTTGATCTAATTACAAACTGCCAAGACTGGCAACAACTTGATTTTTTTATTGCTTGTAAATTATAAAAAATTAAATGATTTTCTAATAATGAAGAAAATTCATTAACTTATCTTTCAGATTTCGCGTATAAAAAATAATTTTTGAAATAGTGTTAAAAGTTTCGAAGTTTTAATTTTTTGTTTTTTTTTTCTTAAAAATATATTTTTAAAATTACTTGTTGTTCTTTGATTTTTATTTAAAATAAAAATAATATATTCTATTAAAAATAAAAATAATAATTTTTAATTTATATTTCAAATTTCTTCATTTTTTGAAAACAAAAATTAAATCTTATTGTAAATTATCGAATAAAAATTTAAGAAATTAATAAGAATAATAATTTTATATGATTTGTGACACATATATAATAATAATCAAAAAAAACTTACTGATACTTACTTATATTCAGATTATATTCAGATTTTAATAATCTGTACATTGTTATAATTTTTGTAATAATTTTTGCTAGATCATGAATAACAAAAAAGAATTTTAAGAATTTTGAGTTTTATTTAATATTATATATTCATGATTATATTATATTATTCATGGTTCAAAACTTAAAAATCTTTATTTTTTTTCTTTCATCGGGCATGTATATTTAAAACGTATATAAAAACATTATTTAAATTGAAACATTTCACAATAATGTTTTGGATATAATGACATAACAATAACAAAATGTTAATAATAAATAAAATGTCAATATATATTTAACATTAATTAGGTTGCCACAAGAATGAACGAAAGTAGAATTTCAAGAAATAATGTAGAAAGAATTAAATATATAAATATAAAAATTGCATTTTAATCATTTATCAATATTTATACTTATATACATTTATATATAGTATTTATATATAAAGTATATATTTCTAAATACAAAAATTGTAGAAAAAATATATAAATAAAGATTAGTAATATGTAATTAAATTAATGAATAATATAATTAAAATTAAAAATTGCATTTTAATATTATTTATTAAGGTTTATTTACAACAGAAAAAATACATCATTAATGCAAAAATTACATGAATAATATATGCATAATTAAAAATTAATAATATATAATTATAATTATTATATAATTGAAATTTACCATAATAATGGCATTTTAATATCATATACTAATATTTGTCTACAACAGAAAAAGATACATCTGCAATGCAAAAACTATACAAATAATATGTAATTAAATGTACAAATTACAAATGTTCACTATTCTCATACGATGTAAATCATAAAAGTAAATGAAACTTAGAGTAAACGAATAAAATCTGCACATTGTTCTTTGACGTAATCATATAGTATACACAAACAATATGGAAAAAGGAATAAAGATTAAAAAATCGTTTCAGCTTAATTCCTTTCTTTTTTTAATTTAAAATAATAAAAATATCTTTTAAAATATTCAAATTAATAAAATAATAATAAATCTTTCATAATAAAGTTTTATAATAAATTTTTCAAAAAGAAAAATTTTCTCGTTTTCTAAAAATAGAAAAAAAAATTATATTTATCAATTTTCATCTTAACAATAGAAATTTTACAGAAATTCCGCAAGCATTGACTTTGCGTAAAATTATTTTTGAATCGAATAGATTATCTTATAAAAGAAAATATAAAAAGAAAATACAAACTATTCCTAAATTTATATTAATAGCAACAAAATTATTGCTAAATAGAAATAGTCTCATTGTGAAATAATCAAATTTCACATGATTTTTAAAAAAAATTCGTTTCTCATTTAATTTAAAATGTCAATATCTTTTATAATATCATTAACTTTCGTCATTTCCGACGCTTCGCATTTCATACGCTTTTTTGAACTTCAATCTCTGTTTCATAGATGGCATAGTTTCGTATTTAGATCGAAAGTTCTTAATTGTTATTTATTCATCATCATTTTATCGAATTTAGAATTTATATTTCTATAATAATCGTTAGAAATTAATATAAAAATTTGTTTCACATATACGCAATTTTATAGAAACTTAATACGAAGGATAAGGAATTATGGAATTCCAAACATTCGCACTTATTTACTTACTTTCTTCTCACGTAACATTTCCAAAGGCAATTGAGAAACCTCCCACGTATATTAGGTTATGTACATGAAACTGGATTGGACGTTATTGAAGTGAATTCATATCCATATAATTGTTCAAAAATAAAATTTTTGTTCTATTTTTTATTTGTTATGTTATTTTATTTTAAATAATAATATTTAAGAATAAATTATCTTAATATTTTATGTTTAGATATTTCTTACTTGATTTCATTGTAAAAAAATGAACAAGAATATTTTATTGTTGATACAAATGTAGAGATCGGAGATTTCGACGAATACACGAGCAGAAAGGAAGGATAAAATTACCTAGAATTTCATTATGGTTAAGCAAACGTCATTCGTCGTGATGCAGCAGTAGACTACATCGAAGATGAATTATTCATTTCACGTGGCCAGTGGAAGCAGCCGCCGATTTCGAGAAAGATTTTTAAACCATCTC